AGTAGACTTTTGTTAAAAGCTGGGGCCAAAATGGCAAGTCGGCCGGAAAAACCGGAAAACCCCCCAAAAGATTTACATCCCTGGGATAGAAGGAGCAAAACCTTAGAGCAAAACACAATAGAGCACTCGCCAACCACCCGCTCAGTCGATCTCACGGCGACCGTCAGCAATATCTTCGTCGCGTATCATCAACATAGCGCTCCGCCTCACGCTGCGAACCCAAAACAACACGTGCATCATGCAATCATGCACGCAACAGGTCTCGGTCTCTCTCTCTCTCTCTCTCTCTCTCTCTCTCTCTCTCTCTCTCTCTCTCTCTCTCTCTCTCTCTACCTCTACCTCTACCTCCATCGATTTCTGATCTGTTAATACTATCTCCGCCGCCCCCCTAGCCTAGTCTTTTGCCTTGCCCGTCACACTTTCGCTCCTTCCATCACAGCACTATGACTATGACCTAGATCTATCCATCCCCGCATAGGAGAAGTGAGAGACATGGTAGGCCCAGATCATCTAGACTAGGCTGACCTATCACGCTATGTGTTCTGTTTGTCTGCACCTGCCACACCCTCCACAGTTCCGGCCTTCATTGTTGGCACACGTGGGCTCTCCCATTATTCTTTGTTTCGCTCTAGGAGTTGTAAGGTCCTTGGTTTCGCTAGATCACCAACTTCTCAACTGGCGAGGTTTCATTAGTATAACTGGCCTACGCGCTGTGCACAGCAGCAGCTATATTCCGTTATAACCGATTCGCGTGTTTGTCTGATTGCACTAAAGCAGTATTTTATTTAGATTTCTTTTTACCCCGGGAGAGTTAAATTGTGGGTGTCTGTCATAGGTTTGACTTCCTACCTACCCTGCAAATCCTAGCAAGCTGGCTGACTTGAATGTTACAAAGTAGAACATGGCTATAGCGAGACATTACTTTATTGGTCCCAGACCAAAAAAAGAACCCTCCCGCTTTCGAAGGCGAGTTCCCGCTAAATAAATGCAAAGGGTAAGCTACCTAAAAATGATTTAACATCCACAGGATTGCCTCCCTTCCATATCAATAAAATTTGCACTTTTGAAAAACCTTCCTTTTTGGGGGGTCAACTTTGTTGATTATCTTGGCCTTTAATTCGAGAGAGAAGCATTAGCTTTTGTCTTTGTTGGAAGCCATCTTTTCCTCGGTCCTATTGCTTCTGCTGTCTATCGTACTGGTAGACCTACTGTAAAACTGCGAAGTAGATCCGTGCGCATGCCCGAACTTAAACGATCGCAATTCAATGAATCGGGAATCGCACTACTGCACGACACGCTCTCCTCTTCTTTTACTTTTTGCTCTAACCTAGGCCTAGGGGTGCCACTGACTGGAGTGTTTTAGGTCATTCCCAAAGGGGGGACATTTCTCGTTCTTATGCAAGGTAAAATTGCAAATGGGCTAATTCAACAATGCCATGCTCATAACTGTGCTTGAACTGCAACAGGGAACTGCTGCTTTTTCTTTCCTAACCCTTACTATCGTCGTTTTCCTCTACTTATTTTGCATGTTTGTCACACTATTGTGACCCGCTATTTCCGGGCTGTCTTGATAATCAAAGTAGACTTTGTGCTGTTAAAGTGAAAGAGGTGAGTAGGGTTAGTCTGATCCCCTTCTGTAAAGACTCCTCTGTTGACATCCACCCCTATATCACATGACCGTATGCCGTAAAACCTCTACTAAAAGTAAACTAAACTATGCCTAGGGCTATGGCTCTCATACTGAGCCTCTAAGCTACGATGAATCACTTTTGGAGTGGCTCACGTAACGCGTCTCTCCGCACCTTAGCTGACTCTGACTGTCTGTTTGGGGCCGTCTGCGAGCAGTAATCATTACTGACTCAATGAGCACACTACAGAAGGTACAGAAAGGGATGCTGTATGCGGACTGGAAGGCTACGATCAGGGAGAGCAGCCTGGAAAGAGTGGCCTGGATCTTCTGCCCGGGTCACGCGGGGGTAACCGGCAACGAGAGAGCAGACAAGCTGGCTGGAGAAGCAAAAGTGGGAGGGAATTTGACACTCGACCCATCAACCGCCCGAACCGCTGTAAGGGAAAATTTGAGGAAGAATAGGGCGGATAGCGGTTCCCACACTCTAGGGAGATTGAAGGAGAAGGGGATCCAAAGAGGAGGGGGGAAACACAGCCACCTGTGCGGACCAGTCCGACGGCTCTCCAACCAGATTATGATGGAGACTGAAAGCAGACAGACTTTGGGGTGGATCCTGAGGAAGGGGGGGGGGGAGCAGAGATGGACATGTTCCGACTGCAGTGACCCTAACATGGTGGACAAGTAAGACTAGTAAGCCTGCCATACTTTTACCTATTGAAGATGTTGGTGGGTTGTGTCTGGTAAGTCCCACTTTTTCCCTACCTTTTTATTTGTTCAGTTTAGTTTAGTTTTGTTTGCTCTTCTGCCTGTCTGGATTGGTGCACCCGCCCAGTTGGCGTTGGAGAGAGAGAGAGAGAGAGAGAG